AAACACTGGCTTACCTGACAAAGAGGAGGGGCTGGGCTTAGGGGAAGTCAAAAGCTTCTAGGACAGAAAGCTGGGGGAGGAGAGAGGTGCTGAAATAGAAGTACAGGGGCTAGGTCACTCATCCAGGTCTGAAGGAAGACTTAAAGTTTGGTTTGTGTTTTCTTTGCACCTGTACTTATTTGATTGCTCTGGGGAGAAGACCTGTTGTGTTTTCTGTAGTGAGAAGCTCTCTGGATGTATAATAAAAGGACTGACTTTTATAGGGAAGCTGGCTCCTGAATTTGCCTAAGGGAGCATCAACCTGCTACAGTGGTGGGGGCATGTTTGTTTGCTTAAGAAATCTGAATTTGCAGAGGCATTTTTGGGGTCTATTAGAGTAGTTTAAGTTTTATTGAGGAGTTTAATTTTAAAATTGTGCACTGAAAAACTACTAAGCACTAAGATCTAAATATAAAACTAAAAATCTACTTTGTTTAAGACTAGTTACACTCAGCTACTCTCCCTTCCCCCTCAACCTGTCCCCTCCCCAAAAACTAGCCTTGGGGGATGAACAAATGTACATTTTAGCCACTTTAAAAAGGGAGGGGGAGCTGCTGCTGAAGAGTGCATGGTAGCTGTTCTGATCCAACTGGTATATCTGCCTGAGCCTGTAGTGATCTGGGTTGGCTAAACTGCCCTAAGGGTGTGTATGAGAGATGTAACATTTGAAATACTTTTAAAGGCAAGTGTACAGACATACAGGTGGGAGAAAAGGCTCCCAACTACGGCAAAAAATGTACCTACAAGGAGCAGGTACTAATTTGTACCATTTTGTTCCATCTCACATCTGTGTGGATTGGCTAGTTCTCTAGCATTCCAAAATGCATCGTTGTTGTTGTCCCCCCCCCGCCTTCCCTGTGCTGCCCTGCCATGATCTCCCAGCACCTGGACTGCTGCTGTCTTCCCCACACCAAGTGCCAGAAGTGATGGTGCCAGCAATGTTTAGAAAGCTGGGGCTCCTAGTATGTGGAGTGCTCCTGGTACCACTGTTTTCAGTACTTGGGTGCTCCCACTCCCAGCACTTGGGGTACTGTGGGCACTGGGTCTCCTGGCACTCAGAGTGGGGTGCTGCTGCTCTCAGTAATTGGAGCATAGTGGGCATCATGAGAGGCAGGAGACCCCATGCATTACAAAAGAGCGGAGAGACCCTAGAACGGGGAGACTTCATGGTGGAGGGGGAGTGAAACTGCAGCTGTGACAAAAAATTCTTGCTCTGCCACCCCGAGACCCCCATACCTTTGCCACCACCACAAGACCCTACACCGCTTTCAGGAGACTCCTGTACTCTTGCTACTGGGATTCTGGCTTTCCAGTCCCCAATCCCCGGATACCTCTCCACGTTTGGACTCCCAGTTCCAACAGAGGGACATGAGATTTCTGGATTCTCAGTTCCCATGGGCACTCCCAGTTCCCAAGGGCACCCTAGGAGAGCACTCACTAAGACTGGCTCCACTCCCCCTCTGCATGGGTCAGACAGGGGAGAAAGCCACAGCCCTAGGAGACAGGTCCTGCAGTGGCAGTGACAGTCTGCTCTGCTTCCCTGCTCTATGCAAGGGCAGGGCACAGAGGAGTCATAAGTTGCTGCAGCCTCCCGCTGCACCCCCTGACAAGCAAGCATGCTGCTGACTGCAGCTGTGGCAATATTAAAGCTAGGCAAGGGGCCTTAACAGGGTTGTTTGTGTGTCTGGCAGTTGAAACACTATCAGTATATTTTTGAAGCATTTCCAAGCCTGTTACACTTGGAAACATTACACCTATCTTCACCCTAACTTTGACCCAGAGTGCAGCAGGGTTGAAACTGGAACATATTTACTACAGAATCAAGTAGACCTAACCATTGCATCACAGCAGCATGTATGGTAGGGCTGTGCGAGGCTTCGAACTGTGCTTTGGATCCGGAGAAGCTTCGGATGCTTCGGTATCCAAAGCAGCATGTCCAGATTGAAGCACTGGCTTCTTTAGGCTTTCCAAAGTGGTTTGGAGCTTCCATCCAGGAAGAGCACACACCAACTGCTGAAACTTCCTTAGCCTGACGAAGGGTTTTTGAACCCGAAAGCTTGCTTAATAACTATTCTCCAACCATTTGGGTTGGTCTAATAAAAGATATCAAATTCACCCAAGGAACCTTGGAGCTTCCGAAGCACTTTGGAAAAGCTTCGGAGCCACTTTGGAGATCTGGCCATAGGGTATAATGGGGAATCAATGAAATATCTATACATTTGTTTTTTGTCTGATTTGATTGAAATGTGCAGGGGTTGTAGCCTCTGCTGGGAGCATGAAGCCTGCCAAGTTTCAAGAGGATCAGTGCAGGGGTTCGGGGGGAATTGCACCCCAAATTCTTGAAAGCAAAACTCATGTCATGTCTATGTGTTATGACACAGGGGGGTGAAAACTGCAGGGATAGTATCCCCTGGTGAGGCCACAAAGCCTGCCAAGTTTAAAGAAGATCAGTGCAGGGGGTTGGGAGGAACTGCACCTCAAGCTGCTGACAGGCAAAACTCGTGACATAGATGACCCTGTGTGTGTTAAGGTGCAGCGGGTTGAAAACTGCAGGGGTAGTGGCCCCTGCTGAGGCCATGAAGCCTGCCAAATTTCAAGGAGATAAGTGCAGGGGTTTGGGGGAAACTGAACCTCAAGCTGTGGACAAGCAAAACTCATGACATGGGTGACACTGTGTGTGTTAAGGCGCAGCAGGGTGAAAGCTGCAGGGATGGTAGCCCCTGCTGAGGCCACAAAGCCTGCCAGCTGTCAAGGAGATTGGTGCAGGGGAGTCTGAGTTCTGGGGCCCTGCACCTCTGGCTGCTGACAGGCAAAACTCGCGACATGGGTGGTTGTGCAACTGTGTCTGTGTTAACTGTGTCTGTGTTGGGGCGGGGAAGGGGGGAACTGCTGTAGGCCTGGCTGCTAAGCAACTGTGTTACTAGTTACCAATCAATCATGACTCACTCAGGGACCAGCTCAATACACAGTTGCTAGCTAATGTAACCCGTTAATTAGCAACAATTAACACCTACAAAACAACAGACTAAGGAGAAGAAAGAATCAATACAGACAATCAACTGCCCCAAGACAGAGACAGTCAGCTGCACAAGCACCCATGTCATCATCCATGCAGCTTTCACCCTGCTGCGCCTTAACACACACAGTGTCGCCCATGTCACAAGTTTTGCTTGTTCCCAGCTTGAGGTTCAGTTTCCCCCAAACCCCTGCACTTATCTCCTTGAAACTTGGCAGGCTTCGTGGCCTCAGCAGGGGCCACTACCCCTGCAGTTTTCAGTTCGCTGTGCCTTAACACACACAGGGTCATCTATGTCATGAGTTTTGTCTGCCAGCAGCTTTAGGTGCAGTTCCCCCCAAACCCCTGCACCGATCTTCTTGAAACTTGGCAGGCTTTGTGGCCTCACCAGGGGATACTATACCTGCAGTTTTCACCCTCCTGTGGTGTAATACATACACATGACATGAGTTTTGCTTTCAAGAATTTGGGGCACAGTTCCCCCCAAACCCCTATACTGATCTTCTTGAAACTTGGCAGGCTTCATGCTCTCAGCAGAGGATACCACCCCCTGCAAGTTTCATCCAAATCAGACAGAAAATAACAAAGTTAAGATATTTCATTGATTCCCCATTATATACACCATGGCTGGATCTCTGAGGCGGCTCCAAAGCTTCGGAGCCACTTCAGCTGGATCAAAGTGCGAACCTGGTCCGGAGCTCCAGATCGGATCCCTGGCATCCAAAGCGTTTGGATCTGAAGCCAGATCGAACAGCTGCCTACTTGCACAGGCCTAGTGTATGGGTGTACTTTGATAGCAGAGATGTAAGTGTTAAGTCTATCCTGCAAGCTCCCTTTTTGCTGTCCAAGTGTCCATCACTTTCCAAGGATCACTAATAAGTTTTTTTTCTGCTTTTTTTTTTTTTTACATCTGGGTTAGCCCTGTGCCATCTAAAGCACAGAAGCGATCACAGGCAGCCACGCCTCCCCCAAGCACTCAGCAAACACTGCAGGAAGACAAAGCAAATTCACTCAGAGACAGACCACAAGCAAACTCTGTCACCTCCTGAGAACAGACTTGCTCCTTCTTCCATGCCAAATCCCTCGCAAACGTTGAATACAGGGTTGATCTCTTGTATCAAAACTGTTTATGAAAAATACTTCTTTTCATAATTTGAAACAGCATCATTACATTTGTGGTTTTCTTATGGAAAATCTTTTTTCGACATGTTTCTAAGCTTTTCCATGGTGGAATATAAGAGAGGGCAGACACTTTTAAGAGAGGGTGTTCTTTTTCACTTAAAAAAAAAAAAAAAGTGTCTACCATATAATTAAACGGAGTTTCAGCCTCGTAACCCTCCATTTGGTCCTGTTTTTTCCAGAATTTTTCACAAACACTTTTAATTGCAACCAGCCATAGTTAGGAAAGTGGAAGGGGTATTTGGAGCCAGACTGGGTATATGGGGCACGAACAAAGGACTCAAATATTATGGGTGTCACTGACTAGATTTAGACCAAGATTTTTGCAAAAAATTCTTTTCAAAACCCTTGGATCCTTTTTGAAGCAGTTAATTGCGTTTTGCATCGGCTGCATCAAACCCCTCTCAGGGAGCCGTCACCAAGGTTTTGGTTTGTGCTCAGCACTTCCTTACGACTGAAATAAAGCAAGGCTTCAACTCGGATGACCCACTCCCTCATGCGCGGCTACAGCGAGCAAGACGAAGGAAATAAAAGGACTTATTTGTAGTCTTATTTGCGGGGTTTTTTTCCGCGTGCAATATTTTGCAGCCGAGAGAATCATTTTGAGCTTCCAATAGGATGCTTTCGTACTGCAGGCCTGGCGCCTACGTAGGCAGCAGCCGGGCCGGGCCCCACAGGTGGACGTGCGCCGCTGAGCGCACCACCAAGCCCCTTCGCGCCTTCCTCGCGGCGCGGCAACGTCATCACGGCTCCCCATTCCCGTGACGTCACTCATAGCGTGGCAGAGCCCCGCCCCCACGGCCGGGCCGGCCACGCCCCAACCGCTCTACCCGCGCCCACCTCGATTGGCTGCGGGGCTCGCGACGCCGGAAGAAGCGACCGGCGCGGGGCGCCTTGGACTCATTCCAGGGGTCGCTAGCCGGTAACGTGTCCCCCCCAACCGGGGCCGCGGGGGGAAGGCCGGGCCGAGCCGGGCAGTTGCGCGCGCAAGCGGCTCCTTTGTCTTTGAAGCCACGAGGCGACGCGGCGGGGGCGGCGATGAGGGACGGCCCCAGCACCCCTGGGTGGGGGCGGCGTTGGGTCTGCGGGGGCTCCTGGCCAGGGTCCTCCCTATAAAAGGATCGCTCGAAATGGTCTTGTTTGCTGAAAAACTCCGGCACCCTGAAAAAAATACGCAGGTCAGTATGCAGAGAAGTGCCATACGTCGTCTTCTTTACCTCATGTTGCTCCCCGCAGGCCGCCAGTGAGAAGGGGGTCATCCAGATAGAAGCGTTTCTTTATTGTGAGGCCGGCCATCGTGAGGAAGTGCTGACAGCGAACCCAAAGTCGGTTCAGACTCCCCCAGAGTGACTTGGGTTTCGCACGTGCTGCATCACTGAGCTGCCTCAAAAATGACCTTATGTTTTGAGCACTTTTGCTATTATTGATCGAGTTCAAATTACCGTATAAATACAGTAATTATCATTAGAGGTGCACTGATACATCAGTCCGGTATTGGATCAGCACTGATATAAAGAAAAGTGTCTGTATTGGAACTCGGCCTGATGTGGCTGATAATTTGGCTGATAAATGCCCGTGCATGTGCGCAGCTGCAGCAGGGCACGTAGGTGGCACGGAGCACATCCAGGCAGCGTGGAAAGCTGTGTGCAGCTGGTAAGTCTGTTGTGGTGGAAGGGTAGGGGGAAGGGGCAAGGGGGGGCAGATCAAGGTCCCCACAGTGAGAGAAGACTGGGGCTGGGGCAAGCAGTTCACAGTTGGGGCAAGGCAGGCAAGGGATGGGGCTGCAGCTTGTGTGGGGGGACTCAGTGCAGGAGTGGCTCCCACCGCTGTCCGCCACTTCTCTGGGAGCCACTTGTCCAGTGCTCATCGGGCGGCTCGTCTGGCACTTGCCTGCTTGTCCGGCAGCTCCTGCGACTGCTCCTGCCACTTGTCTGGCAGGGCATGGGGGTGTGTGTGCCCCCAAATCTGGGCAGGGTGGGGTGGGTTGAGGCCGGAGCTGTACTCTGGGTAGGGGGCTGAGGGAGCTACAGTGAATTTTGGGGTGGCTGCACCCCCTCCCCATAGCCCCCTCCCACCAGCACCCGCCCTGAGTGCAGCCCCAGCTCAGCCCATCCCACCCCTTGCATACGAGCCGCGGTTCCAACCTGCACCCATCCTGCCCCAGTTGGGCAGCGCTTACCCCTGCCCCCCAGCCCCACTTTTCCCTCACCACAAGGAGGCCTTGATCTGCCTCTCCCCCCCCCCTTTTTTTTTTTTTTTTTACCACAACAGACTTACCAGCTGGACACTGCTTTTCAAGCTGCCAGGCTGGTATCGGAAATCAGATCGGTATCAGCCAATATACCGCCTCAAAAATCGGCTATCGGTATCAGCCCTTACCCCTGCCCCCCAGCCCCACTTTTCCCTCACCACAAGGAGGCCTTGATCTGCCTCTCCCCCCCCCCTTTTTTTTTTTTTTTTTACCACAACAGACTTACCAGCTGGACACTGCTTTTCAAGCTGCCAGGCTGGTATCGGAAATCAGATCGGTATCAGCCAATATACCGCCTCAAAAATCGGCTATCGGTATCAGCCCCAAAAATCTCTATTGGTGCACCCCTAATTATTGTATGCCAGGCAACACTGTGCGGTGCTGGGATTCCTGTCACTGCCCCCATTCCTCCTAAGGTGCTTTGCCAGGCAGGGGCTCAGGACTGTGGGTTTATTAACGGCCTAGAAGCTGAAGTGAATTTTTTAATTATTTATTTTTATCAAGGCCAAATCAGTTCTAAATTCAGCTGGGCAAAGCCCAGGAGTCAAGTTCCAAAAATCAGCTGAATGGAACTCAGTTGTCAAGTCTGTGTGGCTCTACCACTGGGCAAGTATCCTCCCTCCCACACCTGTTGGTTTGGGGCTTCAGATGCTCCCCAAATCCAGGCAGGTTTCCTACATGCAAGCCCCAGGCCTGGAGGCCTTGGGGTTCAGATACTCCCGGTTTTGCTTGATCTTAGCCAAAAGGCAAACCAGAGTGTTACAGCCAGGCCTTGAGAGACACTGAGTGACAGCAAATTGAAGAAGGGCGGAGGGTTATAGCATGGACCCCTGCATGCCCCTATTTGTAAGGGATGGTTTGGATAGAGATGATTCCTCTTCCGGCAGGGGGTTGGACTGCATGACCTCTGGAGGTCCCTTCCAGCCCTACTTTTCTATGATCCTTTAGGTGATTAAAGCTCCTGTCATATCTTTCTCTTAATGAAAGGGGTAATTTACCATGAGTTCGTTTACATTTACTGAGAAGTAAGAGTGGGGATGGAAGAAGGCATCAGGGGTGTAGCTTATCTCTGCTCTTGCTTATCTCAGGATAATTTGTTTGTGTGCCCATACCCCCACTGCTGCACTAATATTTGGTCAAAGTTGAAACGTGCAGATCTTGTTTGAATACAAGTGTTGCACCAGTTTAAATTAAAACCAGTGAAATGACACCGATATGCCTTTTGCTGTTGTCTGTTGGCTTAGCTTGCTGCCTATAAGTTTATTCAAAAAAAAGTGTTGGCCCACTGGAAGCTTCATCTAAACAGATCAAAGTCTAGTTTTAGGACTAGTAGTGTCTTAATTTAAAACATTCCTCATGCTTTGATACTTTTTTGCTAATAATTCAAGTCCACTAAACTGAATTATAGGAGAAAACATCAGTAGCTTTATACACTTTTTTTTTTTCATTTTCTCTTGCAGTAATTTTTTTTGAAGCTGTAATGGAGAATGAGCTGGCAATGACTTTTTTCTTGTTGCTTTCCATTGCATTTTTCTGCGAGAGCCACAATCATGGAGTGGAGACAGCAACTGCTGAACAAGTTTTGGAAAAAAACATTCTAGAAAGGACAGCTGGTATCAACCCTGACCTGGCAGCACTTATGCAGAGGCATCACCTTCAGGAACTCTTTCACCGTTATGGGGAGAACAACACTTTGACAATTGAAGGGTTTAGAAAACTGCTGCAGAATATGGGCATAGATAAAAGGAAAAGAATCAAAATAGACCATGAGCATGATCATGATCACCATCATCATAATCATGTCACGCTAAGTAAAAGCTTTGACAGAACAGGTTGCCCAAGTCATGAATCTGAGGGTATACACAAAGATCTGAGGAGCAGTCAGGCCAAAGAATTTCACAGAGTAGAAAATGCTGAGCAACAACACAGTTTTACAAACAATAAGAATGTTGCTAATGAAATAACTACAACCAACAATGCCACTACCACAGATGGCAGTGCTGAGTTACAGAATTTGGAATCTGGAGAAGTGAAATCTCTTCGTGTAAGTCTAACTAACCCCGATGCCATTAATGTAACAGAAAGCAGCAATGCAAGTTTGGTTGTTAGTGGAAGAGCAAATGAATCTTTTCCGCTGAAGGAACCCGAAAAAGGAAGTTATTTGTATTCTAAATTTAAGAACAAAAGTACCCAAGAGGTGAGTACTCCTCCTCTCGTGCCTGTTCAAAGTGTGTCATCATGGTTTGTCATCCAGAGAAGTTCACTTCATCTGTAGTAATCTTCTTGCAGGCTTTGCTATTAGAAATGCTTTAACAGTAGGGATAGCTGAAATGCATGCAAAATTCTCCTGTACAATGATTTCTATTTTTATATGTACATTTCATTATTTTCAGTGAAATCAAGTAGAGGAAAACAGTAATATGTTCCAGTTTGAGTACCTATCCATTGGCATTCCCTTCTGTTTTTTTCCTAAAAAGACAGAAGACTAAAGAAAAAAGTTTATTTTGAGAATATTAACTTTGTAAATAAGTACCTGCAAGTTTGTGACACTTAAGGAAAACTGCAGGTTTTTCTGTTACTATGTTTAAAAATGGTGATGGTGTGGGGGAGGTAAACCAGTTGAATAATTAAACTTGAAAATTCACACTTTTATTAGCTGTGACTATCACCAGCTTTAATCCATGGGCACTTACATTTTTCTTGCAGATTGGCAGGAAGCAGAAAGCTCGGACTGGAAAGCATCTCGCATAGAAAGCAGCCAACATCATTAGAATTTTATTATGAATTTTAGGCAAATTCTGTTATGTATGTTTACTAATAATTTTAGTTAGGTGTCATTTGGCATGAACTTGTCTTGCACAGTTGGGAGCCCTTGACTATTTCTGTGCAGCTGGCCTATTGTCAAAATCTTGCTGTGTCCCTCCTCCTATTTTAAAACGGTTACGTTACAGTCAGTAGTATAAAACACTATTGTTCTTATTGGACCAAGCAGTTAGTCCAAAAAAGTAAAGTTGCTTCGTGATTGTTAATTTATTTTTTTTATCACTAGGGTTATCATAGGTAATGTTACATTTTTGAAAAAAGAAATTGCTATCACCTCTTCATTGTTAACTATCACTTCCTTTCTTGTGAAATGAGAGGTGGTTTGTTTCTCTTCCATGTACCTGATGCTTCTGCTCTGCCGTCAAGGTGGAGCTCAGGTTTGAGGGAAGATCTGGTCTACACTGTGATGGTAGGTAGGGATGGTCCCAAAGGCTGATGCTAGGGTGATTTGGAGAAGTAATTGGGTCTGAGAGCATTGGAAGAGGAATATAGGTAAGGGGCACTGAGTAATTCCTGAAACCAGTTGGACAATAAAACTAGTGAAAAGCCAAACTGAGTTACCTGGAGGAATATAAAAAGTTTAAATATAATAAGGGAGAGGCAAGGATCTTTGCGAGTGATGTCTTCTATTGGACCAAATGTATGGTTGGGTTAGATTTAGACAAGCTTTCAAATGCAGAGCATTCTTCTAATGTTCTGCATTCAAAAGCTTGTCTAAACTTATGTGAGCCAAGCAACTGGTCCAATGAAAAAAAAATCCTTGCTTCTCATATTTTCTCGATCATCGTAGCTGTCATGTCACTCCAATGCTACCATTTACATGCAGTAAAACTTAGAAAAATATAACTTCAGTGTCTACATTTTTTTTCCATTCATTTCAATGTAGAATATGTTTCTTTCTCTCCTAACATCTCCTGCTTCTTTGAACAGTATGGTGACTAGAATAATAGGCATATGGATGCTGTGCGTGTATGTTTTTTTCATGCAACAAATTAATACCTTTTATTAATGACAGGTCCAATTCTAAGGATATTTTACTGAAGTATTTTATTCAAGTAACATGCAAATATTAACACCACTGTTGCTTTCCACTGTAATTGTTGCACAGATTGCTAAAATACCAAAATTATTTTATTTTTCTTTGATTGAGAGGCCTGCTCCTATTTTTGTTTCTGAGGTTGGGCCAGTTCTTTATGAAGACCCACTATAGCTAAAATAGATGTCTCTGAAATATTTTTTTTCTCACCTTTTTAAAAAGTCAAGGTACTAATGGAATAAAGTATATGTAGGTCTATTTCTGTCAGATCTTTTTTACAGATGACCTTGCAAGACCTCTGCGGAGTCTGTTTTGGTAACTAAGCCATATAAATCAGAGTGGATATATTCAACATAAAATCGCACGTCCTGAATTTGGTAACTAGGGATATTGTATTCTTGAGAAGCAAAGTAGAAACCATGCTGGGAGGCCTACTGAAGGGAACTTATAAAGACTGCAAAGAGTACAGTTGAAATATTATTGAATTATCATTTTTTGTCCTAAAAACATGTTCAACACATGCCATGTATGTGACTCCATAGAAGGGATTTGGCTGAAAAAAAGACGTTTGACCAGATGGGTCATTCTGTCTTCCTTAAGTTGAGGATGAGATGGCTCATCCACCCAGCTGTCAGTGTTATTGAAGTACTTCTTCAACCTGGAGGACTCAAGGGCCAAAAAATGTACAACTACGCAATAACTTTCAATTTAGAAATAATCCCACTTAGAGGCCACCTGTACCTTATAGCTGCAGTAAATGACTGACTAGAACCTTAAGGGCTGTCAAATCCAACAATTCCTCAGCAGTAGCACCTAGCTTCTAGAAAGATGTGGAATGGATCGGATGCCGGTTTGGTCAGACTTGAACTGACGTAAGATGTGAAATGAAATGGTTTTAATTATTTAAGTGTTCATGATTACTCTTACCTCAGAATAAAAGTTGTACAGTTCACATCGCTAGAACTTGTTACAGACTTTAGCTACAGTTTATTTAGATACTTCAGAGAGGTGTTACTCTGAGTTAACATTAGAACTCTTGCAATTTTCAACGAGTTTCTGTTCTTTTTAATCTTACTTAAGTGCTTCTTTCTACAGTGCTTCAATACATCAGAACTGATGCGGTCTCATGGAATAAGCACACAAGTATTGTTGACTGCTACAGAATTTAGCTATCTCTGCCCAGCTATTATTAATCAAATTGATGGCAAACATTGCTTAGTCCATGCAACTAATGAAAAGGCTGAAACTCCTCCAAAAAGCTTTTCTTTGGAAATAGGTAGGGTTTTTTTTCCTTCTGAAATGTATAGTAAAAACTTATCAGCAATGACTCAAACATGACATTTGCTTTTACAATTAACATAAATTATGTTTAGATTCTACCTTGTATAATTGTGGTTTTTGAAAAGGGTTGTTTCTAGATGCAAGCATGCCAGGGTTTGTGTGTTGTTTAGATGATAGCATCCAAGTCACTGTTTGAACAGGCAAGTGTCTAGCAAACAGAAGCTGATATCAGGCTCTCGTTTTTCTCTTACTAGCTTGGATTGGTGGTTTGATATCGATCTCTGTCATCAGTTTCCTTTCGTTACTGGGTGTTATACTGGTACCTCTGATGAATCGTGTATTTTTCAAGTTTCTTCTAAGTTTTCTTGTGGCACTGGCTGTTGGGACTCTGAGTGGAGATGCTTTCTTACACCTCCTTCCACACGTAAGTATTTTTACTTGTTTTTAAACATCTTTAATACTGAAACCTGACTTGACTTTTATGTTTTAGGTTGGGTTGTATGTTATATTGATGATATAACGGCTGTTTAATGAGATGATCCATAAATGTAATAATAAAATATAGATTGCTTAGAATGGTCTTTGTGAAATTGTGATCAGTATAACTGATCAATCGTCACTATGCAGGGGGGGGTTGTCATACACGCCTACTCCATTCATCATATTTTCTCTGATATGCATGTGGGCAATCAACTCCAACTTGTGGGAGTTGGAGTTATTTATTTATATGTGGGGGGTTTTTTACACACGCATGCGCTAAATGATGAAAGATGGACTAAATGGAAGAGTGATGCTCAAATGGATTATAAAAGTCAGAGTGGTACATCAGAGAAATACTGGAACAGAACACCTGATACTAGAGTATCCAGTCACTTCCCCCATGTCATCTGGTGGGGAAGGCTGTGAACAAATGCTGTGACACAGGGGCAGTTATCCTCTGTGGTACATTTCTGCAATAAAATTAAGTACATTGTGTAAGAATTAATTGTTCTGTATCAAGTTTGAAAATCTGCCTATGGCAAGTAAGGCCTTCATTAATTATATTATTGAACTTTCTTTTATGTTCTAGAGGCATTTGCCTCTTGGCCTTATGCTTGCATTCGTATCAGTGGTGCAATTATCTTTTAAAAAACAGCATGCTTTATTATATGTTGCACCATACCTACAAAACTAATGGAAAACTGTCTTGCTCTTCTACTTAGTCAGACTAACAGCCATGTTTAGGATCATGAAGAAATTTTACCCCACAGTCACTGTGGTCCGTGTGGACTGTTGTGGTTTTAACCTTCCTGTGTTGTGGGGGAGGAAGCATGGTCCTCTTCCTTGGATCTCTTGAAAAAATGTTAACAAATTGCTTCCTGTTTTTGCAGTGGCAGGACATTGACGGTGTCCTTGTCCCCCTGCCTTGCCCGTGGGAAGTTAAAGGGTGTTGTCGATGTTTAAGACATTATGCCTGGTACTTGTGTGTGGGGGGGGGGATGGTCCTGAAGCTTTTAAGAATAAGTTAGACCAGGGGTGTTGCATTCAATTCAGCTGATGGCCCATATTCCCTGCCAGCACCCAGGGACTCAGTGGGGCAGCTGCCATGTGTTGAGATGCTCTTGTGTCCTCCTACTGGAGCCACAGTTCAACCCTGTTTTCGACTGTCTGATTTTGTTGCCTACAGCAACTGAAAACAGTACATTCAGACACTGGAAAAGGAAGGGATGAGGCAAGGTGGTTGCAGCATCATTAACCATTGGATGCTGGCTGCCCCACAGTCAGACGAAAATGACTGTAGGGAATTGGCAAGTACTGGAGCTGAACTGTGGAGGTTGCCTGAGAACCAGTGAGAAGCCCTGTGTGGTAGATGGCCCACCTCCATGGATCTGTCTGACCCACAGCCTATGTTTGACATCTCTGGCTTAGACAAACATTTGTCTAGAATTATTTAGACAGTGATTATCCATACCTTGATCAAGCGGTTGGACTTGATGACCTCCTGCGGTCCCTCCTAGGGGAGAGAGAGGGAATTTGATAAAAGTTTTCAAATACATGAAAGGTGCTAGAGAGGATGGAGACAGGCAATTCTTTGTGACTGTGGCAGTCGGGATAAGAAACAGTGGTCTCATGTTGCAGTTAGTGAAATTTAGGTTGAATATTAGGAAGCATTTTCTTGCTGTCAGGGTAGATAAGTATTCGGACAAGCTACCCCATAGAAGTTGTAGAGTCTCCATCCTTGGAAGCTTTTAGAGCAAGTTAAATGAACATTTGACTGGGATAGCTTACCCAGGAGTGATGGTGCACTGAGTGGGGTGTCAGACTAAATGACCTGAGGTCCCTTCCAGCTCTATTTTTCTATGATTCTATGAAAAGCTAAAGAGATTCCTTCTGTCATGCCCTAGAGGCTGACCAATTATAGTGATTATCGTCTAAGGAAGAGGAGAGATTGAATCGGCCAGCCATTGGGAGTAGATTAAGATGTGGGATATTATGGTAAGATTAATGTTGGGCCACCATAGAGATGAGGCAGTAAAGAGGGTGCTTTGGTTATCGCTGCTACTGAGGGCCCCACCTCTGTGATTTGATGTAAGAAGACTTGTGATAGTTTTTGTCTAGTTGTAGTGGCTGGGCCTGCTTTCACTCATCTACTAACAAATATCACTTCCATCTTATCTCTTCTGAATCTTTTTAATCCGTATCTTTTCTCTTGCTAAATGTAAAATGTCTGGATTTGATTAAAATGAAATAGCCCTGGTTCACATTCTACAGATTTCCTTCTGTTGCTACTGAATGTTGAATATTGTTTTGAATGTAGTGGAACTTCAACTTTTTTTTTCCTTTGTTTCCTTCCTTAGTCCCATGGGAACCACCACCATCACCATGAGAAACCATTACTTGAACAAAGTAAAGACTCCTTGTTCAAGCATCTTGTTTTTCACAGTGCAGAAGAGAATGTTTATTTGGATTCCACGTGGAAGGGCCTTACAGCCCTGGGAGGCCTTTATTTCATGTTTCTTGTTGAGCATTTGATCACTTTAATTAAGCAGTTTAAAGACAAGAAGAAAAAGGTAGGGAAACTATATTTTGAAGTATTTGGAGCTGTCTCCAAATAGTAATCAGTCCATGATACTGCAATTTAAGCTATTAAGTATCTTTATTCAACCAGAATAGACAGTTAAGGAAGAATTCTGGTACTGCTTAGTAAAGCTGGAAATTCACTGTAACCAGACTAACTGCAAAAAAAAAAAAAAAATGTATATGTAGGCCTAGATTATCACCTGAAAGAACTAAAGACAAAAAACCCACCATCCCTCACTCCCACAAAAAGGTATTAATGTGCAGGGGTTATCGTGCTATGTCTTTTAAAATTAGAGTAGGAAATACCATGAAGATGTAACTATTGTGGGTGGTAAATGTCAACTTTCTAAATATAGAAAGCTGCATTGTGTAAAAGCTAATATAGCCAAGTACTTCAGTGTTGCCAAGGTAATAAAGTTGTTAGTTTAAAAGTTGAAAATGAAATTTAACTAAGCCCTCTAGGAAGTTTCAAAAGTAGTTACTTTCTGGGTAGAAAAGCCTGTCATCTTTTTAATAATCCAACATATCTGGTATTGACTATGAAGCTGCTTTTTGTATGCCTGGAAAGCTGTCCATCTTGAAGAGTGAGAAGTAAGCAAGCCCACTGAAATATGCAGGACAGTTTATCAGAGTGGTAGGATCAGGTTCATTAACTATATCTAAAGCTCTTCTTTCCCTGCTGAGTTGTTTGACCTGGGAGCTATTCATTTAGAGCTACAACTTGGTTTTCTGGGTATTTTTGTTATAGTTTCTTTGTTTTTTTAATAAGCCACATTTTTAAACTTGAGTGTGCATTTAAAAAGAAAAATCTCCTGCATAAATGTCAATCATTATTTTTGTTTTTGAAGTCTATAGTGGAACTGAATTGCTGTGTAATCCTGTATAACTATTACCTGTGCCAGCTCATTGTGATTTGTTTTCCTTCTCCATCATAAGTCATTCTTTGCCTTTTTTACTGTACTTTAGCCAATCTTCCAGTACATTTTTCTGCTTATGCATCCATTATGTATGTCCCATTTTGGTCTCATTTATTTGAAGGCTGTGTGAATGTTGTGAATATACTGTGTTGCCCATGCATATATTGAAAATTAAATAAAATATTAACAATTTAATTGTATTCTTTTGGAATTAGAAAAAAAATGAAGATGATGCAGAAAGTAAGAAGTTTTCAACAAATGAAGAAAAGTTAGATGCAGATGATCGTAAGTCTTAACAATAACTTTGCACAGCTATACTAATGAAAATGGTGAAGAATTTTTTTCTGCACTATAAGTAGATTTGCAAGTCTTCAATTTACTATGGGATGGATCACCATGTAGCCAAATTCTTTAAGCCTTTCCTGAAACACAACTTTGGTAGGCATTGGTGTGTATGAGATTTGTAATTATAAGTGATAATCAATAGTAATATGTTTTTAAGTTTGATAGGGGTTGGAAGTAGTTCATAGTTGAAAGTAGATCATAGTTAAAATTTTGATGCTTCTTAGCCTTATGCTGCAGGATTGAGCATTAGAAATAGAAAAAAAATGTAGAAGAGCTTTTATTTACAGGTGTTTAGTATGCTGCTGCACCTCACAGAAATTGTAGTTCTGTGGAGAGAGGATTTTAGAAATCTATACATCATAAAGCTAGCATGGAAGTTTAAACAGCCAAGCTCATGTATTTCAAATGCCCGAAGGGCTTGATTTTTCAGAAAGAGTGCTCACACACTATTCCACTTGAAGTTAAACTGGGGGAAGTGGACTGCAGGTGTTTAGTACCTGTCAAAATATAAATGAAAACATTTCATGAAATAAGAATACCATCAAATGTCCAGGTGATCTTGTACAGTAAAATATAAAGTTTTTTTGGTCTTTGTAGGCTGCTTTCAGTACTGTGTTTGCTTGGCTACTGAACTATCCAATGTGATAGGCCCTTGGATTGCAGGTATGAATAGACATTTAGGGCATGACACTGTGTGTGACTAACATTTAAGTAGTCTTATTCTGAGTCTTGAGTTGGGGACTGTTACTGAAATGCCTCATTCTCTGCAAAAATAAGATACAACTTATTGGTTTAATATCTTGTTACAATTTTGCAGTATGGCATTTGCTGGATCTGAGTTCATATTCGGTGCCTGTCCAAGAAGGGCCATGTTCTATCTACAAACAATTTGATACATCCCTCACGTAAGCCTATTAAAGTCAGTGGGGTGACAGCACAGATTAATTTGACCAGTGTTTCTGTATCTGGCTCCTTTCAGTTACACACTTGGTGCTCTCCTCCTATACTGCTAGAGATTTGGGTGTGCCCGTATGTGCTTCTATTACTTCTTGAATAGGGTTCCATTTTCTCTTCGTAAGTCTGTTGCAAGACTGAACTGAAGAAAGCTTTAAAAAAGCTTTAAGAAAGCTTTAAACTACAAGTAGGCTGTACTTGTAGTTCTGTAATTCTTTTTTTTTTTTAGGTGTTACCTGGAAAAATATTTCATGAAATCAAAATATCTGGATTGCTTCACTGAATAGAACAGTACCAAAGCAATCAGAGTTTGTGGAAGTGCCCTTCCTTTCACTTGTCTTTTTTTTATTTCTTCTGCTTATCTCCTGCAATTATATAATCTGGGTGCAGCACTTCTTATCTCTGACTAACAGAAGATGCTGTTTCTAGCATGATGAATTGTCTTTGGCTTCATTTCTTTAATTTAATTCTCCAGATTTTTATCTCTCATTTTAAGTACTTCAAACAGCTAACGCTTAATAGCAGCACTAGCATATTGTGTTGTCTACTGGATCAGGCCAAGCTCTTTCTTGATGCGTCTTAAAAATCTTGAATGTTAGCCCCCAGTTGCATGCCCTGCATGATCCTGCAGCCTCAGGCAGAACTTTGCTATTCCTGAGATTATTTGCAATAGCTGTCACAGTGGAATTCAGTGTCATTGATCCCCCATTTGTAATTTTCATGTGGCTATATGGATCAAATCTTATTTTGCAGAAGCCAGTTCCCATTGGTGGTGATGTCAATGGGGCTTTCATTTGTCAGGATCACATTGAAATTGCATTCTTTGCTTTCAAAGACAGAAAAAGAATTGTGCACTTCTTTCAATGACACTCAGCTGCAGGTAAAGAATTAAACTGCTTCTGGGAGTGCCAGCTAGAGCCAATTCTTGATTTTTTTTAAATGACTTACTACTGTGCTTTAAATATTTGCTAGAACTTCATGTATACAGAACAATTTTTTTGTATTGGATACTTTACTTAGGTTTGTATGTGTGTTGTTTTGAAGGTTCCCAGGCTTGTGGATTTTCATGTAACTCGCTTATATTTCTGTGACTGCAAGAAGTTTACCAAAATTTACCCATTCTTTTATTCTCAAAGCTTAAAAATTTAGTTGTAAAACTCATTTAAATAAAAACAAAAACAAAATTGGAAACAACCCATCTGTTCCAAAACTGAGAGCATATTTTAAGCGTTTTCAAACTACAAATAAAAAAATAGTGCCACATATTTGTGCTAAGGCAGAACACTTAAAATATTGGAAAGTTAATAGGCAGCATAGTGTATGTTATTTTTTTTAATAAAAATAAAATAGCTGAAATAGATTTATTTTTTTTTAAGTGGGAGGCAGGGGTATGCAAAATATGGGCTGGATACAGCCTGTGGGTGCCCCCCCACCAGCCTGGGCCCCAGCCAGCATGCAGCTTCTGGCACGGCTGTTGCCAGAGTGGCTGCAGCCATCCAGGTGCTGCTCTGCTCCCCTCCCCTGCAGTGGGAGCCACCCTGCTGAAGCTTCCCCTCTGCCTGCCCACCCGCCTACCTGGAACAGGACAGGAGTGGGAGGAGGAGTCCCTACTAGAGGCAAGGGGAGCAGAGCAGCACCCAACTGGCTGCAGCTGCATTGAGAATAGCCCCACTGGAAGATGTGTGCTAGCTGGGGCCCAGGCCTCTGGGGCTGTTCTGCTCCCCTCACCTCCAACTGCGGCTCTGGCTCCTCTGGGTGGGCAGGGAGGAAGTTTCAGCCAGGTGGCTTCTGCCCCAGTGCATGGAGCTCTGGCTCCAGCTCCTGGTTGCTTTCCACTCGCTCTGCCTGCTCAGCACAATGAGCAGCCACTTGCAGGTGGGTGGAAGGTGGCCAAGAGCTGGAGCCAGAGCCCTGCAAGCTGGGATGGGAGCCGCCAGGCTGAAGCATCTCCCTCGCCCCCCTGACCGGAGCAGTGCAGCGGGAGCAGGAGCTGCAGCTGGAGCCGAGGGGAGCAGAACAGCCCCACCAACCTGGACCCTGGCCAGCACGTGCACCTTCTGGAGCGGGGCTGTCCCCAGTGCTGCTGCAGCTGGCCAAGTGCTGCTCTACTCCCTTTGCCTTCAGCTGTGGCTCCTTTTCCTGCTGCACCACCCCATGCAGGCAGGCAGGAGGAAAGCTTCAGCCAGTGGCTCCTGCTAGAGGTAAGGGGAGCAGCGCAGCACCCATTTGGCTGCAGCTGTACCAGGAAGAGCCCCCACCAGAAGCTGTGCACTGGCTGGGGCTTGAGCCAGGGCTGTTGAGCACTGGTGGGAACACAGTGTGGTCTGTCCTGGGTGGGGCTCCACTCCATGCAGAGTACCATAGGGGTAGCTGCAGACTGGGCCAGCTCTGCTGCGTGTGCCCCTTGCCCCCCTCCCGACGGCATGCAGGGTGCAGATTGCACCTGGCCCACTGCCAAACACCTTTTCCCACCTGCCCAAAGCCCCATAGGTAGTTTTGGTGAGTTGCTTTATGGGGGGGCAGGGGACAGGGCAGGGGACCCATGACAGCTCATCAAAACTCTCACATAGTCCTGGGACCCAAATAATTGCAATAAAGACAAGGATCTTTATTTTTCTGTGATACTTCCATAGATTTCCCTGTGTCCATCATATAAATTTTGAGCAAAAAGTATCATGGGAGTCATGCAAAATGATTGTAGTCACGGAGGAGCAGAGTATCGGGGTAAATTTCCGTGGTCTTTTCTTATCACAGCATAGTTTTTTAGGTAATTAAGTATGTTAACATAATCTCTCTCTCTTTCTCCCTCCCCCCCAGGGCCTGAAGGTTACTTAGGGACAGATTCGCAAGATCCATCCCACTTCATTTCTCAGCAACCAGTAGTACAAGAGGAAGAAGAAGTCATGATAGCTCACTCCCATCAAGAGGAAGCTGACAATGAATATGTATCCAGGGGTTGCAGAAACAAATGTCATTCTCATTTACATGACACTTTGGGACAGTCGGACCATCTCAGTCATCATCATCATGACTACCATCATATTCTCCATCATCATCACCATCAGAACCACCATCCACATAGCCACAGTCAGCGCTACTCACGAGAAGAGCTGAAGGATGCTGGTATAGCTACTCTAGCCTGGATGGTGATTATGGGTGATGGATTACACAACTTTAGTGATGGCCTAGCAATTGGTAAGTATTTTTAGAGTTCTCCTTAGTCTTATACAGTAAGAGCAAGGTACAGTTGTTTCTTTGCTGCCCATGAACTGTAATCAGGGGTGGGCAATTATTTTGGGCAGAGGGCCACTTACTGAGTTTTGGCAAGCCATCGAGGGCCACATGACAGGCAGCCCAGGGCAGATAATATTAATTTTCTAAATTTTTTAGGGGCCCCGTGGGCCGGATAGAATCATAGAAGTAGGGTTGGAAGGGACCTTGTAGATCTTCAAGTCCGACCCCCTGCCTGGGCAGGAGGGAAACTGGGCTCAGGTGACCCCAGCCAGGTAGGCATTGAGCCGCTTCTTAAAGACCCCCAGGGGGTAGGAGCCAGCACCACTTCCCTTGGAAGTTGGTTCCAGATCCTAGTCGCCCTAACTGTGAAGTAGTTCCTACAGATGTCTAATCTGAACCTACTCTCCAACAACTTGTGGCCGTTATTCCTTGTTATCCCGGGGGGTGCTAGGGGAAACAAGGTCTCCCCCAAACCCTTCTGGTCCCCCCTAGTGAGTTTATAGACGGTCACAAGGTCCCCCCTCAGCCTTCTCTTGTGAAGGCTGAACAGGTTCAGGTCCCATAGCCTCTCATTGCCCAGTGTGGCGTAGAGGGGGAGGATCCCCTCCTTGGCCCTACTTGAGATGCACCTGTGGATGCACGATCAGGAGCATCCACAGGATAGAATGGCCTGGTGGGCTGCATCTGGCCCCCGGGCCACCTTATGCCCACCCCTGGGCTAAATGATATTAAAACTAAGGGCCAATACAAGACTTAAGTGTCTACAACAGGAGTAGGCAACATTTTTTTGGCTGGAGTGCTGAAAAACACCACAATGCTTACCTCAGAAGGTGCCGGAGTGCTGGCATGGCAGAAAAACAAGATGAGGGCAAGGGGTACATGGCAGGATGCCCTACTGCCCCTGCCCCCCCAGCCCGGGCTTTGTGGCTGTCAGCAGCTACCCTGGCTCTGGGCATCTGTGGCTATCTAAATGCTACTTTTGCATGATCCTGTAGGCCCCTGCCATGCGTTAAACTTGAGACATGATTAATCAGTTAATTATATCTTAAGTTGTAACCCAGCTACACATTTAAAGCAATTAATGGCATCATAAAACAAGGAGTAAGTCACAAAGTTATTTTACAAAAGATATGTAAGAACTTTGTGGCTGGCTCCTATCACACTATTGAACATGTGGCCAGGTGTGCCTTTCTGGCTGAGAATCCCATCAGCTGATGGGGCTCCCAGCCATGGGAATGTATGGTGCACCCCTGAAGCTGGGAGCCCCGTCAGCTGAGGGGGCTCCCAGCCTCAGGAGCTTCATACTTGACAGTACAGGCTCCCCCTGTACTAGCAGTAAGGCATGATGGGATATCAGATGCTCAATCCCACAATCACATCTCCTCCCGTGCACGTGTAGCATGACAGAAAGTGTGATTGTGTGGATCATGCATCAGCTTCCATTTCGCTTTTACCTGTACATCTTGCAGGGGCTGTAGTGACATAACTTAATGAAATTGCCTTTAGTTTGACCTTGAAACAGGGTTAAAGTTGAAGCAGATTTGCTGCAATTGTTTGTAGGGTGGCCATCATACCAGACATTCCAGTTCTCTGCTATTCTGTTCTCTATTGATATGACACCTGATGCCTTTTATGTCCTCTATTTTTCCCTTGGAAATAGAAATAGAGGACATAAAGGTGTCCAGTTTCATATGAATAGAGGACAGGACAATCGGACTGTCCTCTATGATGGCCGCCCTACTTGTATGACTATAAAATAGGACAGATGTAACAGTTGCATCTCTCTGTATACTTTGTTGATCTCCTCTGCCCTAATTTGTTATGAGCAAATATATAACTGCACTCCCAAGCATGATCTCTGAATTTGTAATGTTTGGTCGTCGGGTTTCTTGTCTTCTCACAGGTGCTGCCTTTACAGAAGGTTTGTCTAGTGGCTTAAGTACTTCTGTGGCTGTGTTTTGCCATGAATTACCCCATGAGTTAGGTAAGACAGCATAATATTTCAGTAGAGTATACCTTTTAAATAATTGGTGGGGGTGGCAGTTTTAAGGATGGTGTGTTTATTGTTTTACAGCATAGTTAAAACTTCTAAATTTCCTGATCAGGGTCAGAAATGTTTTAACTAAGTTTGCAAACATCTGGTTTAGTTGATGAATGTTGCTTTTGGCAACACATTCATTTGTAAATTCATACTAAAAATCTTCAATTACATTAAGTGAGTCATTAGGTCTGCAGATATTTGCAATTACTACTGTATTTCTTCTTTGTTTCAATGGCTGATTTATGTAACTATTCAGTATAGTATAAATTGTGAATATATTTAATGGAAAACAGTTTTAAATTGTTTTTTGTAATTATGTTTAACTTGATTTGTCCTCACTAAGAAAATGAATGTTTTATAGGTCAGGAAAAAATCATGTTAGAACCCTTTAAAATATGGTTCTAGTTTTAGTTCATGAAAAATGGTTTTCATCCAAAACCTAATGTGTGTCGATTTATAATTTGGAGTTCCAAATTATAATGTTTTTCTGGTCAGATTGAATTAATCCGTGCACTTATGAATACATGTACCAGTAGGTTATGGAGTCTGGTGTTTTCCTCAGTAACATTAATGGGAATTTCTTTGGGGTATTCATCTCCAAAATGGGGTGTATTGTTCCCAGAAGCAGCCAGTTTAGTTCTGCTTTAGGGAAGAAAACACATGGCATTGTTTAGAGTACATATTTGCATGATCTTAAAATGGGATTTGATAGGAATCTCAATCCAGTCTCTTAGCTGGGAATGTTGATGCCATAGGAACTTGAGGGTGGTGGTATAAAATGGAGAGGGGGCAGAAGTGGGGTTTAGGAGGGAGTGAAATCCTATAAAAAGTGGTCTGTTTAATCAGACTTAACATGTTTTGTAAACCTTGCTGTGTAATAGGTAAATGGTATGCAACATGGCAACTTTGCTAATCATAAACTCAAAATGTCATAAGAGTATTTAACCACCCCCAGCTCTTTTGAATTAATACGATTACTGAAGCTGGTCAGAGATTTTTCAACTAAATAATCTTTCAAGAGAAAATGCCAGTTAATCAAAATTGAAACGTTTTGTGATAGGTCCAGGAATTTATCAAAACAGAGCCTAAGAACTCTGAAAAATGTTGCAGTTAAGGGGATGTCAAAATCTCTTCTTGTTTTGAAATTGAAAACTAACTAACGTAAATTAAATGGTCAAGGAAAACGCTTTGAAATTATCCGAATATTTTGATTGACCCAAACTGAGCATTTTGGATTTCTGTTGTGAGAAAAGTGGTCCACCACATTCCAGTTATTAATAATGCTACTAAAAGTGACTCTCAATTCCTTAATTATGTAGATAAGATAAAAGCCCTTTACACCAAAGTTCAGTCATTACTTAAGAAATTTGGAGCAGTCAGTGGGTAATTGAAATTCTCAAAGCACACAGTGAATCTTTTTGTTTCAAAATCAGATTTATATGGTTCTCAATGATGTTCAGTATTGCAATAGGTTTTGACTTTTAAAATAATTGTATTAGCACTAATATTGCACCAATAAACCAAAATTGTAACCAAAACAAAATTCTAAGCAGCTAAATGTAAAATTTTATTAAACTAAAATCCTGTACACTATAGACTGCAACTTTGAAGCTATTTTTATGTTTTGTTCTTTGGTTCATCTGCCCTTAAATGAGAAATCGTTTTAATTTTGTAGAGGAAGGCTATTAGAAAAAGGGAATAGGTGGCTTAAAAACAGCTCAATATTCTGAGGGGTGAAAAGGAGTTTTATTGAAAGTGTTTAAGTAGATACATGAGGATGACAGATAATCTTTTCTCTTTCTTTTTTTGTCCTGTAGGAGACTTTGCTGTACTTCTGAAAGCTGGCATGACTGTCAGACAAGCTGTTCTTTATAACGCTCTATCAGCTATGCTTGCATACCTTGGAATGGCAACTGGGATTCTTATCGGTCACTATGCTGACAACGTTTCAATGTGGATATTCGCACTTACTGCTGGTTTGTTCATGTATGTGGCTCTTGTTGATATGGTAAGTATTAATTAAATCTACTTGAATTCTACACAGCTAATTCAGGTGACAGACTAATACTAAAACAGTACCAATACCCCCAAACTCATCCTCTGCAAAAATATTGATCTGTATTACTTATCTCTTAATTTAAATATTGATATCCTTAATCTTGTTGTTGGAAAACTTTGAGAAATTAACACAATTATTTCATTTCTATGAAATACGCAGATAGGAAAACATGCGTTATGAACATAGCGCACAATAGATAATCATCCCTTTGCCATAAACTTGTAGTGGTGGTTGGAATCTTTTCTGCTTTTTAAAGCAAAATTCACCTGGAAGGAACCTGATCAGCTTTTTAAAGGATGTTGAAGCATCCCAGTTTAATTGCTATGTTAGTTAAAATTGTTTAGTTGTAAGTATTGGACCAAAGGGGCCTCTCGAGATACTAAATCTAATCCCCTGTATAGCAAGCAACCATTTATCCACATTGAAACTACTCCAACCTTATGTGGATAATGTGTGTTTAGAAACTTACTGTTTAATAAGAAAAGTCTTCTGTCTATCAACAAGGTAACTAGGAGACGTGTTTAATTTGGTATGATTGTTCCTAAAAATATTTCATGCCTACGCCTTTGTATCATCACCATTGGTTTCCTAGTTAGGAACTTTTAGGGTCAGATTCTAATACTTTTTTGACTGATGTCAAGTTACCGCTTTACTCAGTGCGTAGGCTAGTGAAGGCCATAGGACTACTCGGGGATTAAGGTAGTCTTCATGGTTAAGGAATCTGACTGAGGGAATGAGTCATGATGCATGGCACTATTTTGAAAGTGTTTAACATTCATTTTTATAATTATTATTTACATAGGTGCCTGAAATGCTCCACAACGATGCGAGTGATCATGGGTGCAGTCGCTGGGGATATTTCCTGTTACAGAATGCTGGGATCCTGTTAGGTTTTGGGATTATGCTGCTTATCTCTGTGTTTGAACATAAAATTGTATTCAGCATAAATCTATAACTTTGATTGCCTGTTAAATTTGGTGCTGATGTGTAATAGGCATCTTTTTATATTAATTACTATTAGCTACTGTAGCTGTATAGTACAGCTGTAGTACTGTAGCTACTGTACTTGAAAGGTAGGCTTTTCATAGACTAGGCATTTTTCATCTATGTTTCCTTTTTCCAGAAGTAAAATAAGTATTAACTACTTACATGTGAAACTTAATTTAGTAAATAGTACAAGGCATAGATAGCTATACTTTGTGAAGCATGGTGAAAGTGCCAAATCTAGAAAGGAATATTTTTTTAGGTTTTTTTTACTTTTAAGTTATTAAGCTTTTTTGTAAACTTGCATGTAATTTATGTAAAATTTTGCTGCTGTCTTTTTTTTTTTTTTTTTTTACTGAAATGATTTGCTGGTATAAACAAGTAAAGCAGTTGTTGTGCTATACAATGCAAAAAGTTGTCTTCTTTACAATATATAATTTTTTTTTAATCGATGAGAATTTTAAAATGGAGAGAATGAGTGTAAAAGGTGCATTGTGAGGATAGCTGAGAGATTAATTTGCTAGATAGAACGTTAGTATCTTATCTAGTTCTATGATATAGCCACAGAAATCTATAATTGTTATATATATGAAACTGAAAATGGTTTAGAGTTGAAGAATGGCAGGGAACACATTTTTGGAGGCTTGGGCAAAATAAGCGGTTATGCATATGGTTTAATTTAAAATAGTCTTAGTGTTGCAGGGTGTAACCTGGTTTAAGTTAAAATTTTAAACTTGCCATTAACAAAGGAACTCCATATATTGGAGAGAGAGGTAGTTAGCTGTGTTAGTCTGAGGGTCTTGTTATATGCTAATAGTGGGAAGCTCCTGGAGCTCATAATCCCTAGAATGTCTGCATATTAACACTCTAGGGCAGGATTATTTCTGATCCGTGCTACCCAGCTCACTTTACAATAAGATGCAGCTACACTAGGCTACAACTTGGTGTAAAGAGCCCACCTGCCCCACTTCCCTGCTGGCTTGGATTAGGCCCCCTGCCCTCCCCAGCACCCCAGATCCTCTCTCACTGCCCCCACTTACTTGTGGCTGCTTGTGCTGTCTGTCCTGGGGGAGGAGGCAGGGAAGAGTAAACCTGCCTGCTGTTGCTGCTGTCTGCAACAGGAGTAGCCCTGCAACAGGAGTAGCTGGACAGGCAGGTTAATCATTTCCTGCCTGCTTCTCTGGGACAGACATTGCAGGTAGTCACAACTAAGTAATGCCCCAAGGACGAGGAGGTGGCAGGGGGACACCCTGAGCTGTGGGGTGGGGAGAACAGGGGGAAGCCCTTGGGGATCAGGGGGGAAGCCTGGAATGGGAGTGGGGGAGATTCTTACCTTTCAGTTCTCCAGGTCCCTGCTTGCTGTTCCTAACTTGAGCTAGTACTGACACGAATCAACACTTGTGCAGCTCCCAGCATAAGGTGTAACAAGGCCCTGACATTACGCAGAAGTCTATAAGGTGCCACCCTATCCTGCCTACCTGGTTCAGAAGCATGAGCTTTTATAGGTGGCAGCCTACTTCATCAGATAATGTAACCTGCAAAAGCTCAAGCTTCTTTGAATGAGTCCAGTATAGGCAGAAGGTAGGGCAGGGTAGCACTCTATAGACTTTTTTACTCTAGAGCAGTGGTTCCCCACCTTTAGATTCCAGGTGTCCCTCTAACTTTTGTGAATTGAGTGACACTTCATTTCTAAAACTTTTATTTTGGTGCCTACCTTCCTGTTAGGGATGTGAATGGTTAAATGATTAATCATTTAACCAATCAGCCAGTGATAACTGGTTCTAGCTAACTGGTCATGTTTTAACCTGAGGCTGGGTACAGTCTGGGGGGAAGAGGCGGAATGGAACCAGCAGGCTGCAGGGCAAGAGGGTGGGAGAGAGGAGCCAGGAGGGGTGGGGTGATTAATACCTAGGCTCTGTGACCCTGGTGCAGCCACTTGCAGCCTCCCTGCTGCCTGCCATGAGCAGACCAGGCTCCAGGCAGGCTGCCAGAGCACAGGCTGCAAATGGGTCCACAGAGCCTAGCTATTGGGTATTAGTGACACCTCCCCCTCCCACCTGTTCTGCTGCAGCTGGGCCCAAGGAAGCTATGTGCTGGTGGCTGCAGTGGGCTGGTAAAGCCCTTCTCTGACTACTGCTGCCTGTGGCTTCCTAGGCTGTGCTCTGCCCCCAACTCCCTGTGCCACTCGGCAGGTAGATGCAAACCCTCCTCCAAGGAAGAGTGGGACAGGCACCAGCCTGCAGCTCAGCACCCCTTAGTCTGACTTTGCAGAGCTGTGGGCTGGAGCCCAGTGTCACTATGCCTGCCCCCCATGCAGTGCCTTCTGCTGCTACAGCTGCTGCAGGTATGACAAAGGCAAGATTGAGGTAAGCAGGTGCAGGGTGACTCCCCTGGGCCTCTGGCCCAGCTCCATGGCATGCCCCACCTGCCCCATCCGTGCCCAAACTTGGGCTCAGAGAGGACCCACCAGCCTAGTTTGTTGTGGGGGCATTGCTGAGTTTATCAGACCTGGTGGGGGCTGGAAGCCCCTCACTGGTGCTAGGTTTGGCAGGGGTGCCCTACAGGCCAGGCTGGAGGTTACCATAGTGAGTAAACCTGTTGTAATTGCAACAGATTAAATGGATAGTTTTAAAATCAGTATTTACATCCCTACTTCCTGTACAGGGCCCAGGCAGTAGGAAGGGTGAGGAGGAGTGAGCCTCCATCTTCTCATACTGTTACTTATGCTATAGGTAACCTTGTGGGTAGGCTACTGATGAGAGACAGAAACAGGTCTACAGCCCAACTTTTTATCTGCTTTCACCTTAAAACATGAGAACAAACATTTATCTCAAAGTCTATCTGGCTACCCACAACAGCACAATGCTGATTCTCACCTATACCAACTGGGGAGATTTGAGAGTTGGGGGGAGGGACGACACACAGATTGGTGGCAGGTCTTCTTGAATTTGCAGTTCTCCAAATTTCCCTCCAGCCCATGCCTAATACTTATAAATGGCTGGTTTTAATATTCTAATAAATGACCCCTGATTAGTTTTACTTAAATGTCCTTTTTTCACTGAAACTTTTGGAACTGGGCTGAACCAGATCTTTTGTGGGCTTGGAAGGTGGCAATTATTTGGGATTTATATCCTTGGGAAAGATGGAGGGTTTCTTATCACCTTTCCTTCTCCATTGTGGAATGCTGTTTCTTCTTTACCTTCCTTTATGCTCTTCTCTGAAAGGCTGTTTTTGTTTTTACAGATTATCTAAGCATCTTAACAGAAATATATCTATTATAGGAAAATAACATCTCATACACTTGGTTACATCAATCACTGCTGCTACAACTTTAAGATAAAGCTATGATGTAGCATATATGGATTATTAAATATATGGTCTTCTCTTACCTCCTTTTAGGATCTGTAATTTGTTTAACTGTACTTGATGATTTCCTTTACTTCCTGACCAAGTTAGTTGTCACATGTGCAAAGGTTCACACTGCAGTTACTCAAAAGCATGTTTGGGGCCTTCTGCTTAGCAGCACTTCTGCAGCTTAGCCTAGGCCGCTTGAAAATGGCCAAGGCTAACAACAGTAGCCGGGACTGGGCTGTGTGTGTCAGAGAAGGGGCAGTGACCAGCCAGGCTGTGCGCGCTTAGCCCTTCACATCCACATCATCTGTAAGGATCATTGCTCTAAACTGCTGTTAACACTCTATTGCAACTTCCTGACTTTTTCAACAAAGTGGCAGTGAACTACTTGGAGAACTGGAAATAAAATGGTAGTCTTGTAACTAAAATAAGAACAGTCACTGATACGCCAAATCACTTAAGTTAACTGAGGAAGGAGGTTAAATATAGGAGAAACTCAAGTCTGACAACCAGGGGAAGTTTAAAAAAAACCAGTAACCTAACAATTTTCAGTTTCAAATCAGGTGGACAAAGCACTAGGAAATAGACATATTTCATTTGCAAGGGAGATAGAATAGTCGTGAGTACAGATGAGCTTTTCTCTCTTTTTGTATCTAAATAAATTCATCAGTCAGTATTTCTTTAATCTGAACATAATTGAACAAAACTTACTCCTGTTTCAAATCGCCAGCCAGGGCAGAATTCTGAGCAAACGGATTCACTTGGATTCTGAGCAAATATCAACTTTGGCTGGAATGGTATTTTGGATCGTGGTAGATCAGTCTGTAAGAACTGCCATATCAAATTAGATCAGTGAAGCTCTGCTCTGGATCTTAGTCTTCAAAAACTTGTGGATGCATTTTTAGCTGCTCCATTGAAAATCATGGCAGAAGCTCAGTTATTCAGATTCTGTGGGAGTTGTACCTCTCTGCTAAAAACTCAAAGATTTAAACTGCAACTGTTGTAATCTGTAATCTTAGATTATTAAGAATGTGTGACTTTTTTAAATACAGGAAAAATGATGGGCCATACTCACCCAAGGATAATTCTAAATATTGGCACCTTCAGCCATTTGATTTCTATTATTTCATTCACCTTGACATCTAAAGGAGAGCCCATTTCCAGTTGAAGAGCAAGGCTAATATGATATTAAAACATGCCACTCTCCAATTTACTCATCTAATCCAATGCAACAATAATTTTCAAATAAGTTTATTACTGTACACAAATCAAGGTTTTCATATGTACCCATCACAGGTTTTCTTTTTAGCTCTTAATAAGGACAGATGTTTCTTCTTGCTGTTCTGATTCTTTAAAGTTCTGTATTCTTGAAAGCTATACCAATGAATTTTCACTATTAATATAGAATACTAAAATACACAATACCCTGATAGTTTAGTATGTTAAAATAGGGGTTCTCAACCAAGGCCCTTGGCCATTATGTGTGGTATGCTTAGAAAACCACCAGATGGCAGCTTCACTGGCTCCCTGTGCAGCTCTCCCCCAAATTAAAAGGTGACACTACAGGGAGCTGAGACTCCACACCCTATTAATTCAGATAATGAAATGAAAGGGAAGGTAGAATTGAAATTATCACCCTCAAGAGAAGAATAGCATAGCGAGCAGGCAAGGGGTGGGGTGCAGAAGAAAACCAATGAGAGCTGATGCTGTTGTACCTTTATGAATATACAAGGAAGTATGGGAAAACTGGAGAAGATGCAGAGATTGTGGTGTGGCACAACCGGCCAGCTGCTTTGATGCTGCAATGGTTTGCACTGTATTGCTCTGGGGTCAGTCTACCTCTGGAACTGCAAGGACTCTCACTGTTTCAAGGGAGCTCTGTCTGCTAGACACCATTTAGCGCCATATGAAAAATGCAAAATGACACAATAGTCATTAGCATGTTCTAAGAATGATTGCCTCTAAGCCCCCCCTTGCCCAAAGGAAATGACCAATAGCTGTAAATAAATATTCTTGATTTAAAAGGAGACATCACCGTATCAGATCTGCATAACCTTTGCATTTCATATTCAATCTTTGACGCTAATGGGTAGGAGCTTACTATCATGCCCAGGCAAAATTCTTTTTATGCTGTAGGCTGCCTTTTCCTTCTCAGTCAGCCAGCCAGAGCGTGATGAATAGTTACACCCAGGATATCGCTGAGGGGTTTTATTCAAAGAAGTACAGGAGAAACCAAAGCAAGTTCCCCCAAACTATACGCTGGTTTGTTGGGGCATTATCAATCGGGCAACATTACCAACAGCAGCTAAAACAGCCGAGAACAGGTAGACATAAGCCTCATGATTTGAGGCAAGTTGCAGACTCCCACCTCTCTGCTTTTGTGTGGGGGTTTTATCCCTTCAGGTTCAGATTTCTGTATTCCTGGCCATTCAAACCATCCTAACCATCTTTTGGCAGATTGAGAAGGAGCAGGGAAACTGAGTCACAATCTGTGACCATTGGTTTTTCCTAGGGTTGCCTTAATAGCATTGGGTGTCAGAGGTAGGGGCCCGAGGGCCCCAGCCCCCCTTGGGAAGAGGGCTGTCAGCTGAAATGCCTACAATTTTCCACATATCCATCACCTTAGCACCCCCAAATAAAAATTGGCGCCTACATAGTACGTTGGTTGTGACCCCAGGCCTGTGCCTCTCCTCTCTGTCGAAACTGTCCCCCACCATCCGCTTCTCTCACTGCGATTCAGACTGAACTGCTCCTGGCGCCGGTGTCTGGGCGAGGCCTCCAGCACGGCAGAAAGCAGCGGGGGGGCGGGCCCGGGCTCCCAGCAATGCGCACATCCCCTGGGAAAAGCCACTGCATCACCTGGCAGCACGCGTGAGCCTGGGCACAGAGCTGCGCGTCCCCGGGGCCTGCTGTGCCGCCTGTGCTCGTGCTCCTCTGGACCGGCGCCGGAAGCCGGCGAGCGCCTCAGCAGCAGTAGCAGCGGTACTTCCGCCTCTAACCCCGCCAGCCAATCAAAGGCTTCCGGTCTGCTTGCGTCAGTCCGCAGATACGCCGGGCGGCGTGCGCATTGCTTGGCCCTGATTGGCTTCCTGTTCCTGAGGGGGGCGGGACGGCCATGGCTGCGGCGCCGAGCGTGACGGAGCGGTACTTCACGCGCTGGTACAAGACAGGTGGGCGCCCCCTCCCCCTTCTTTTCCTCCCCCACTCCTGGGCCTCGGGGTTGTTGCTGCGCCCGGGGGGTGCTGTGCGCGGCCTGGCCGGGTTTGGGGGAGCCGGAGCGTGCCCGCCCGCCCGCTCACGAGGCCCGTGTGGCTGTTTCTTGCAGACGTGGGGCAGCCCCGCGAGGACTACTGCATCCTGCAGCACTCCAACAGGTGAGCACAGCCCCGCCCTGCACATGGCGCGTGTATTGCGCGCCACGCAATACATGTACATTGGTTGCAGACGAAGTCATGACCCAAAGTGGGTGACCGGTGCAATAAATGCACGCCTGCCGCTTGTGCCCAGTCATTATCGCACAACAATACCGTGTCATAAATGTAGACCAGCCGCATGGGCAAAGCCGTCATCACGCAACAAGTGGGTGAACCGCAGTTAATGGGCGAACCGCGTCAGAAACGTAGAGCGGCTGCACGCACGAGTAAAGGCGTTATTGTGCAACGCGCGGGTGACCCAGGCAATAAATGCACACCAACCACAGGTGCCAAGCCACTATCATGTTGTTAATGGGTGAATTGCAATTAATGGTTCATCTGTGCAGTAGATGTAGACTGGCCACGATGACGCAGTCAGCGGGGGGTTGTGCAGTAAGCGCAGAGCGGCTGCACAGGCAAAGTTGTCATTGCACAATATGATGGGCTTTCCAGCTCTGCAAAGGCCCAGGCGGCTCTCACGTGAGTGCTGGAGCGCGTGCGGCAGCTCCAGAGCTGGTTTCTGTTCGGCACAAGTCAGAGCAGGCCGCAGGGCAGGTACAGCCCCCACTTCACCAGCGTGTGGGATGGGGAAGCAGAACAGGCTGTGTCCCTGAGTGCTGCTCAAGCTATTCCCAGCCGTGAGTGCTGCTCAAGCCGTTCCTGTCTGGTGTCCATAACAGGTCACAGTGACTGGTCCCATGTAGGAAGTGGCATGGGAAGCACTAGGAAACACTGGGGTTCTTGCGTTTTGTTGACGTTGTGAGTGGCAATGGCAAGAGACAGGTGAAGGTGCTCAACCTTTTAGTGCCACAGGCTAATGAGTGGCACTGGGATAGTCTGAGAGCCAGGTTGGGCCCTGGGGCCTGGCGCTGCATTATCTCTGCCCCACACACCAGGAGTGGGCCTGAGGGGCCTGGCAACACCTCCTACTGCCCCCGATGCACCAGGTTGGGATCCTTGTGCTGCCCCCTCCCAGCCTCCCCCATGTGCCGGGATTGGTTCCCAGTGACACAACACTGTCCCCTCCCAGACCCCGCCACCAGGATTGGGCCCAGGGGTCCTGCAGTGCCCTCTCCTGGCCTGGCATGCTGGGATTGAGCACCCATCAGAGCTGTCTCTAGGGATGTGCTGCGCCTTGGGTATACCAGCCTGTTTGGGGCTGGGGGTAGCACGCGATGGGGTGGAGGCGAGCAGCTGCAGCTGGGGGGGGGAGGGGGCATGGTGAGCGGCTGCAGCGCAGAGCTGGTGATGCACAGCAGGGCCTGTACAGCACTGTCCACGTCCCCCAAAACATGAGGCTTGGGGTGGTTGCCCTGATTCGCCCCCTGCTAGGGATGGCTTTGGTGCCCATCCAGCAGGTAGGGCTTGGGGGCTTCCCTTGGATCCAGAGATTTGGCACCAGGGGAGCAGGGCCACCACTCCCTCGTTGCCAAGTTTCCAGACTCCTGGGGAGTCCTGCAGGCTGGATGGCACTGTGGCAGAAGCCGGATCTAGGGCTTGAGCACCCCTGGGTTAAGGAGGTAAATCACTTTGTTACGTAAGTCTCATTTTGAAACCCTGCCTTTGAATAAGTAAGTGCCTCCTGTAACTATCAGTATTGAACAGATCGCTTCCCACTTTGATGTGTAATTTTGCTTTGGCAGTAGCATCCGCTCACTCAGCAGCTCTGTATGCTTATCCGGATTTGTTTCTGTATAATCTAGCAGCTAAAGGCCAGGCCCACTCTGGGGCTTAGTTATTACAGGGCTTGGTTTCACAGCACCTAGCTTTTGAGTGCCAGGCCTCGCGGCCGCAGACTGGTTCTAGGCACAACACCTAGGGAGGGTTGGGAGAAATTCACAGCATCCATTGTGCCAAACGGGACGCAGCACAAGTAAGTCAGCAGGAGATGCTGACAACAGATGTGTTACTTGAATCCCACCGGTCTCTGGGGCATAAGCACTTCATCACTACCAGGAGCTAACCCTCTCCACTTAGCCTGTACAGCTTGAGCCTCCTCGTAGGAGGAGGAGCCTAGATCCTTGTTTGGCCTTTGAAAGAAAGGATTACATTTTTATATCTTTTTAAAATGTCTGGAGGACAATATGCCTATTCCTTTTCTATGCAGTTGCACAGTGGTTAGAGCACTTATGATGTGGGAGACCCTGGTTCAAATCCCTCTTCTGCCTGAGAGGATTCAAACCCTCACTTCCCACTTCTCACAAGAATACCCTAATCTTCATGGCATAGACTGTTCTGTGTGTGGATACTCTTGCTCTGGTGTTGAAGTTGTGCCACTGTTCTGAAAGGGGTCCAAGATGGTTGGACCAGAGCAAGCGTGGGCCTTATTCTATAGCCTAGTGGTTAAAGCCTTTACCTGGGAAAGAAGAACCCTCATCCCACTTCCTGTTCTAAGGACTCTCCATATTTATTCAAGGTGGAACAGCTTCAGTAGGAGCAGTGAATATGCTCCATACCCCAAAATAATGTATACCCTGGTGGTTACCGTGCTCTTTGGGGAGGCAGGAGATGTGGGGTTGAATCTTGTCAGTGAGAAGAGGGGATTTAACTCAAGTCTTCCACACCCAGGGTTAGGCACTCTGAACACTGTACTTTTGAATAAAAAAGGGGCTGCTGCTATATCACTTCCTTCTGCGTTTTCAATGGAAGCAGTGGCTGCTACTGGATTTTCTGTGGAGTGCAATTCACTAGGCATGAGGTAGGCATTCTTGGAGCATACATAACGATAACACTTTTGGGCACAGTTGACAGAGAAACACCTAGTTTATGGATCCCAGCAGGTCTTCAGTATGAGAGAAGTGCTGGGCTGCTCTGCTCTGTCCAGACTTTAGTCCCATATAGACTAAGGAGTAGATGGCAGCTGAGCAGAGGTTTTGCAGATTTAAATTTTAGACTTGGGCACCTAAAACAGGACCAAGCCTTTTTTTAGGTCTAGCCATACATTTTCATCTATTAATCTTGCATTCCTCTTAGATGGGACAAAAGTGGATCAGACTGAATTTGCATTCTCAACACTAAGTTTTAGCTTTCAAGGGGTTGCACAGGTATCACTGAAAACCTTCTTTGGTCTGCAGAACCAGTCCTGCTATCAGTTATGCATAAGAAGGAAAGGGAGGCTCACTCGAGTTTCAGAATCAAGGTTTGCAGGGTTGCTAGTTCATTATAAAGCAAATCATTTTTTTTTAAATATAGATATCCCAGAAATATCACAGTGATCTAGCAACTATTTATTTAGCAGCTTAAACAGACGAAAAAGGCTGTAGTGAAACTTCTGAAATACTTTCCAATTTTTCAATATGAATTGAGAAGCTGTATAATCCCTGGGACACAAGTAACTCCATATGAAGACCTATAAGTGATGCCTATCAGCACATGAAAATAAATACTACATATAGAACAACAGGAAACCAGTAGCATTTTCAGAAAAAAAACACATTTCTGGTGTACTACTATGCCAGTTCTGGTTATGATCAGAAGTATTTAAGTTAATGTATACTAAATGAAAAATGAGTCCTGCAAAGGTGCGATGATACTGTGTGTGGCCTGCTTTGTTTGAGGCTAGCTAGGGTTTGTCTTTTTTTTTTTTTTTGGGGGTTTTTTTTTTTTTTTTGTCTTTTTTTTTTTCTTGGGGGTTTTTTGTTTTTTTGTTTGCACTGCCACTTTTCAAGCATTAGAAAATCCGGTCCTTTGTACCCTAAACGTCTTGATCTTGTGCCATCCTAGCATCATAAGGGACCAGACTGGAAAGTATCAAGCACATCTTAGAACTGTAATATAAGCAGATAAGAGATTGCAGTGTTGTGTGTTTATTCTTTTAAGTGTAAAATAAGTATTTAGGGGAAAAAGCTATTTTGCTTTACTGTTTGTTTCTCTTCCCTCTCCCTTTAATGATTTCACAATAGACATCTCTCAGGCCCTCCAGTAGAAGCTAGGATGAGCAGATTTTTGACATCCCTTATCATTTTTTAAGTAAGAGAAGAAATTTAAAATGTACGTATAAAAACCCCTCACTTCTTTAGGCTTGAGAAACAAGAATGAAGAACAGAAGTTGCCGCCTTCAGAAGAAACATTTAACAGCTGTTGAAAACTCTTGTTCTTTGTATTCTTGCCACTCTGATCTTTCTTTCAGCATTTTAATGTCTAGTGGGATAATTAAGAATAGAAAAGCCATATTTCAGACTGACACTTCTACAGAGGATTAAAAACCCATAGAAATACTCATGTCTTTTTATAATCAAATTAGATGGTATTTATTCCTACTTCTAAACTCTGGTTTTTGTGACTTTCTGCAGTGTGTGCAAACATCATAAATTCACATCTGTGCTGTTTATTTGCTTTCTGTACAATACTGGGTGGTAACAGCTTCTCCAAACCTGCATTTTTATATTCTTCTTCTGAATAACTTTTTTACTTGCCAGGGACAAACATTGCATTATATTAGATGCTTGTCGTAAAAGATACACTCACCATGATAAACTGCATTTGAAAATTTGTTACAGGCACCGCATACTACTTAAAGTTAACAAATTGACTTTTGGGTTCCTTTTATTTTAGGTACTGATGGCACTTTGCATCCAGTCATTTTGTACAGGTTTCTTTTGGTGGCTATTTGTGTTTCCTGGTATTCTTTCACAGGGCCTGAGAACAATATGAACTTGGAGTGGCATGTTGCTGTGGGGAGTCCACTCCTTTTTCCAGTTTCTGCAAAAGGGAAAGGAGAGCAGCTGGTAGTCAGTCCTTGGACTCTTGAGAGGCCTGGAAAGGATGGAAATGCTGGGTTTCTCACAACCATTGCTCTTGGTCCCGTCCATGCTCTCCTAGACTTCAAAATCATTAGTAAGAAGAAGACATTTCAGACTTTCCATTAAGGAGCACTTTAGCTTACTAGAAAACTCTCAAATTATCTTAATTATTTTAAATTTGAAGTTGATAAATATTTCTTTAATTAGACTAAGCAGCTA